TTTAAATCTCATATATATAACCTTTAAAGTTCCTTAGTGTTAGAGAGACTAGTGGGCTAAAGTAGGAAACCACGTTACTTTTACTTAAATGTTGTGAATTTACAAATATCCACTCTTCAACAATCCTTTTTCTATCGTTTTCTATTTAAAATGTGTATTTAGACCTCGAGACCAACCAGTTCTGCAGTGGAGCAGACAACTGACATGAAGTTTGTCACAAAACTGCTAATTCTTCATTATAAACTGACAAACAGGTGAAAATGTATCAGGATCTCACACACAAAGCAAACTGAAATATAATAAACTCTATATACACTATAAATTAATGACAGAAGACTAAACAAGACAAGTGTTTGCCAGATTTACTGCTACACATTTAACTGTTTAACAAAAAATAACGTATAATGTTTTCTACGTATATTTATGTTTATGATGTAATGCTGATCTGGGCTTCATAATGGGTTGAATTCAGGCCTCAGTGGAAACGCACACATGACATGGAACTTGCTTGAAAATACATTATGTATAGCTTATTAATTCTGCCATGTAACTAATAATTATTATTCACATCATTGTATATTAAAGAACTCTATTTTTGATAGTTTTCTTTCTTTATATGCTAGAATTTAGTACATTTTCTCAGTGTTTATATAAACTTGTGTGTTTCTAAATTTTTATAAACGTCACAACTCTAAATAAGCTTTGAGTTCAATAATAAAATTGTGTTATACTGTATGTGAATAAGCCACAAAATGATGTCAAATAAAAACAGAAAATAAAGAAAAATCAAAGGTTTTAATTGTTTTTTTTCCAATATAAGTTACTGAGACAGTACTTTGGTTTATTTTTTTTTTACAGGTAGAATAACTCACACGGTTTGTAATTATAACAGGCTAATACTATGCATTTTATCCTGCATGTGGTAAGACATTTAGGAGTGTATAACATGCAGTTTTGGACTATTGCATTGTGACAAATTGTGTTACAACACAAATTATTTAAAGTTAATTTGAGAAATTGCTGATTTAGTGTGTGTTAGAGTGTTAAAAAGCCATATGTGGGGTACAGTGTACATGCACAAGTGTTAACTGACTAATTCAAGCACTGACTCCCATTTTCATTGTATCTTGAACAAACGTAGTCAAATAAATTGTCAGTATGCACTGATTTGGCATCAGTTCTGTCATATGTTTGTTCCGATGTAATATATAAAATCTTATTAATAGATTCAAAAGTAAAAAGGCAAAACACAGAGGTTGCTTTCATCTGGGTCCCAAAACACACAATTATTCTGGATCAGTTTAAAAAAGAAACCAACCAGCTCTCCTGTATCTTACTATTAACCGTACATTAATGAACACTTGCATATAACATTTAAGTATGATATAAACTGAAATGATGAAGGTATTAATGCTACAATTCCACCCCCCTACAGGACACGGCCTCATGATTAGATCAAAGTGCAGAAGCTGCTTTATTATTTCAGGTTATGATGTAAAATCAAACAAATGTTCAGTAAATTAACTGACCACAAAGTTATCAACACACAGTGAACCCGGGGCATTTAAAGCCCCGAGGATGTTATTTAACTGAGTCAGACGGCAAAGAAATGGTATAATCTGGAGTAATTCTGACTCAGTAATTTGAACCTCACACATTACGGGAAAGCAACATGTGTTTACAGATCTATTATTATTATTATTATTATTATTATTATTATTATCAAATAATTAGTTACAACATTACTGTCCAATCTAATCACATCCTTGGATTAAATGTTGTAATCATGGAAGTAACTAATTAGAAAGATAGAAACACTTATATTCAGCAGCTGGAAATGTAATATAACTACTAGTGTAACTAATTATTGTTGGCAGGGAGTAATAAGTAATGTATTAATATTATTTAAAAGAATAATGAGTAAGGAGTATTAAATAAAAATGTTTGAGTGTTTTTAACACTTATAATACTACTACTGATATTTAAATTTTAGTAGTGAATTAATATTTTAAAATATATATATTTTATTTCTATTTTTTATTTTATTTTATTTTATTTTATTTTATTTTATTATTATTATTTTATTGTATTATTATTTATTGTA